CTGACTCTGGGACACTCTGCTCCCCAGCACCCATGGCTGAGCCAGGAGAGCCCCTGCCCTGCAGCCCCCTCCCGCTGCTTGTCCCGTGCAGGTCCTGTGGTGGGACATCCGCAAGCTGTCCGAGCCCACCGAGACGCTGGTCTTGGACATCACCCGGAAAGGGCTCCTGGAGAACGCTCTGGGTGCCGTCACGCTGGAGTTTGAGCCCACCATGGTGAGCCTCCCTGCCCTGCCGTCACGATCACCCTGCCTGCACACAACCAGTATCCTCACCTGAGCCGAGCCGAACCCCTGCGGGCAGGGCTCCAGGGGCACGGCACAAGCATCTGATGCCCAGAGTGACCCAGAGCACCGTGCTGCAGCTTGCAGCATGTTCCTACCAATCTTTAAGAATTAGGAGTTGATGTTCTCCCAAAACACAGGGTCTTGCTGGCACTTTGGTCTCTAAATCCCCCAGATCACGGCGGGTCCCAGGGCTCCGTTCTCCCCAGGTGCTGGCTGCAGCAGGCTCCACCCTGCTCGGACAGCAAAGCCCTTTGCTGCCCCACTGCCCCCTGCACCATGGAGTCTCCAGCCTGCTGACGGCTGCTCTCTCCTGCTCCCACCCTCAGCCCACCAAGTTCATGGTGGGCACAGAGCAGGGCATCGTCATCGCCTGCAACCGCAAAGCCAAGACGCCCCCCGAAAAAATCACCAGCACCTACAGTGGCCACCACGGACCTGTCTACGCTCTGGCCAGGAACCCTTTCTACCCCAAAATCTTCCTGACAGTTGGCGACTGGACTGCTCGAATCTGGTCAGAGGAGACCAAGGAATCGTCAATTATGTGGACCAAGTAGGTGTTGGTGTGTGTTTGCCCTGCAAAAAATCTTTTTTTGTGGAAGAGCGCGTTCAGGGCAGCTGACCAGCAGGGTCTGGTCTGCTCGGGTCAGGCGGGAGGTGGTGGGACAGTCACCAAGGCAGAGCGGTGCCAGTGTGGCCGAGGGCACTGGAATGGAGGGTGCCCAGGCCTGGGCTCTTGGCTGAAGGTGCTGTGCAGTCAGCAGCCGTGGAGCCAGGGGGATGGAGGCCACGAGCTCATCCCCGCTGCGTCGGGTCTGCCGGCAGGTACCACCTCTCCTACCTGACAGACGGATGCTGGAGCACCGCGAGGCCGGCCGTCTTCTTCACCACCAGATCAGACGGGACCCTGGATGTCTGGGACTTCCTCTTCAAGCAGAACAACCCCTCCCTCAGCCTGAAGGTTGGGTCCCTCGCCCTGGGAGGGGAGCGGGAGCTGCCCCCGGCCAGCACCAGCGGCAGGGTGCTTGGCAGATCTGCCCTGCCCTGCACAGAGCAGGCAGAGCCAGGGGACAGTGTCCCATCCACGGAGATAAGCTCCATCAAGCAGTTTTCCCTCCAGCCCTGAGCTGTGCCTAGAGCTCAGCGTGCCCAAAAATTTGCACGTAGGCTCCTGTTATTGGCAAGCACCTGGATTTGCCTCTGTCAGCTCAGCCTGCCTGGCTTCCCCTGTGGGGGATCACGTCAGGGCCAAGTGCCACTGCCTGCCCGCCCTCCCTCCCCAGGTCTGCGACGAGCCCCTCTCCAGCCTGCGCCTGCAAGACAACGGGTGCGTTGTTGGCTGCGGCTCAAAGCTGGGCACCGTCACCCTGCTGGAAATCTCTTCCGGGCTCTGCACCCTCCAGAGGAACGAGAAGACCCTGGCCACCGCTGTACGTGTGTTTCGGGCTGCGAGCTGCTGTGCCAGGTCACAGCGAAGCCCTCGGCACTGCTGGCATGTCACTGGCCCCGTGCACAGCGGCTCTGCCAGCACTGCCAGCAAGCTCTGCACCATCCCTGTGCAAGGCACGCTGTCCCTTGGGGTCCCCTGCTTGGCCCCAAACCCCTCAGCGTTCCCCCCTGCCCTAGATGTTCGAGCGGGAGACAAAGCGGGAGAAGATCCTGGAGGCTCGGCACCGGGAGCTGCGGCTGAAGGAGCGCGCCAGGTCGGAGGGCCATGGGGCGGAGGTGGAGGAGAAGCCAGTGGAGAGTCCCCACGAGGTGCTCGACCGTGCCCGCAGGGAGTTCTTCGAGGCCATCGAAGCGGAGCTGCAGAGGAGGGCACGGGCAGAGACCCAGCACCTTTGTGGCAAGGTACCAGGGATGGGACGAACCCACAACCACAGGTGGGACTCGTGCCGTGGGGCAGGGGACATGGGTCAGCCTCTGCCTTTCAGGTTAAAGACGACGCAGGAGAGGCAGCGGCTGCACAGGGGGAAGAGAGCCAGGCGCCCAAGGACAAGGAAGAGGAGGAGGAGGAGGAGGAGAAGCATGCTGCCAAGGTCAGTGCCCTCCAGCTTCACGTTGCTTTCCCCCTCCATCCTAGGGTTGCTGCTCCGTGGCTTGTGCAGGGATGAGGCTGCTGTCCCTGAGCCGGGCAGAGCTCATGGGGTCTCTGCCTCTGTGGGGTGGCGAGCGGAGGGCCCCGCACAGCTCCCTGACCCCACGCCTGCGTCCTCTGCAGGAGCCGTAGCTGAGACAGGACTGGTGGGTCGCACAGAAACCCTTGCGTTGGTCATAGAAGCACCCTGACCCTTTCCCTCCTGATTCTTTTCCTTCGGGTGAATAAACGAGCTTTCCACGTCACGTTTCCTGTTTTGTCACAGCAGGGTTGAGGAGAGGGTGGGAAAGTCGCGTTCTCTCGCTCTTCATCTCCCCTCCTCGGGCCAGGCCAGGGATCAAAGCTGGCTGCCGACCACAGCGGAGTGCCCGTGGCAGCAGGGTGTCCCTCGGTGCATCCCCAGCCCGAGGAGCAGGGCAGCTCGTGGTGGCAGCGGGGTCCCGGTGCAGCACCGTGCCGCTTCCCGGCTGGAGAGCAATGCTGAGCCCGTGCCCCCAGCCCACTGATATCCCTGCGAGAGCCGCCTGCAGTGCCTGGGCTGGGGTTACCGGCACTGGGTAAACACAGCCCGACCGGTATTGCCGAGCAGCTGGTTGCGCTCACCCCACGGCACAGCTGTCGGCAGAGGGATGGGGCCAGGACGCAGGCGGCATCCCGTGTGCCGGGGCTGGGGGTGAGGCTCCCGGCAGGACCCTTCCCCAGGCTCTGCGCGGGGGGTGGAGGGTGGGCAGGAGCTGTTGAAGCCACCCTGCGTGCGTGGGGTGGGTGCGGGTCCTGTCCTGGCAGCGTGGACAGAGGGGGAGAGCAGGTCACCTGCTGCCGTGGGACTGGGGGGGGACAGGGCTCGCGGTCCCCCAGCCCCGAGCTGAACACTGCTGTGTCCCAGCACTCCCGGGCTGGGCAGCGCTGCCCAAGGGGCAGGTTTTCCCCAGCTGTGGGAAGGGAGCCGGGCACCAGACTTGCAGCTCAGCCAAGCGCCACGTTAAGGGCCAGCCCTAATTGTACCAGCAACCAGAGATGGAAAGGCATTTCCCCAAGCCGTGCACTGGCTGTGACCCATGCGGGACAGGCGCGTTTCCACCCAGCTGACGGCACCCTGACCATGCCGTGGGGCTGCGGGTGCAGCCGGGAGAGGACATGGAGCATGGCCAGAGCCGCACACGCCGCCGGCCACTGTGTCAACAGGAGCCGGCTGTGCTTCCAGTGTTGTGTACGGCTCAACATCTCCAGGGGACCAGGGCAGACAAGTGGGATGGGGAGATGCAGCCTCCAGAGCACCTCCCAGGCCGGGCCGGGGGGCCACCCATGGGGCCAGACCCACAGCCCCCCCAGGAGGGCAGAGGGGCTGTGCTGGTGCCCGAGGAAGGAACGGGGGAGAACCAGGCTGGGCTGGAGGTGCCACGCTGAGCCCTCCCGCAGGCAGCAAGGGCGCTTAGGGACGGAGCATCAGAGCGAGGTGACAGAGCAGGGGTCAGCACACCCCATGCACCCCACGTGGGGCACCTCCGCTCACAGGCTCCCCTCGGCCCCTGGCAAGGACACGAAGGCTCCAGGGGACCACAAGGACCAGTGAGTCCTGGCCGGTGGCACACTGTCCCCGAGGGGAGCAGCACCACTGCCGAGGGCAGTGGGAATGCTTGGATCCAGGGTGCCCCACGGCTGCGCCCCACAGGGTTGGATGCGGCAGGAAGGGGGGGACGTGAGGGGGATGGGGCGGCTGGCGTGGCTTGCCTGT